GGGGGTGAGGCTTTAGGGTGGGGAGTAGAGAAAGAGCAATACAGCAGCAGACCTATCTGGTACTTCAGAGTGTTAATCACCCCATCCCTGAAAAGCTTGGCTTATGCTCCCAGTAGGAAACAGCAGCCTCTTCCACTTCCCATAGGACATAGTTCTGTGTCTCACCTCTCACCTTCCACACCCTCATCTTGCCTACCCCATAAACTTCCAAATGCAAACCGAAGTTGGGATGTCTGCCCTAGTCCATAAAGAGAGTTGCTTCTTTGTGCGTTGAGGTGTGTCCAGAGATCAAAGGCTACTGGGTCTGCTGGTGTGATGCTGAGTTTGATGTTGGTATAGATGGAGATGACATTCCATTGTGATGGAGAATTGAGGGTGAAAAGTAGATCTGTCCTACCCGAGATCTGTAAGGGAGGTTGTTGTTTTATTGTTTGTTTTCATATAAGTCTAACTTTTTTGTTGTTATTACTTACAATTCTTCCCCATTTCCCTTTGCTCCATCTGTCGTCCATCAGTGAGGAGATTGTCCCAAATCCTGTTCCCCATTTTGAAAAAACAATTTTCCCCATGCTTAAACAGATTTAATAAAAATAAATCCTTAGATATAAAGCTCTTATGCCATTCAAAATTCATTTTTAATCCCAGTCTATATCTTTACATATTTTTTAATGTTCCAAATATTTTGTGTTCTACTTTTTTTAAAAATTTTATAATTCATTGACTAAAGTATTAAGTATGTTTTTTTAGTATCTGATATTATATAATACAGCTATGTTATCATTTGTGTAACCTCAGTGGGGTATTCTTAGCATGTCCAGTATTTCATTTTAAATTGCACACTATAAACATGCATGTGCATGCACGCGCATGCACGTGCGTGTGTGTGTGTGTGTGTGTGTGTGTGTGTGTGTGTACACTAGATGCCTGGTTCATGACATTCGTGCACTTGGAGGGGGGGGGGGGTCCCCTCGGCCTGGCCTGCGCCCTCTCACACTCTGGGACCACTTGGAGAGGTCCTTAGTACCATAGAGGCACCAGCAGTGAGCCCAGCTTCTGGCTGAGCAGTGCTCCCCCTGTGGGAGCACACTGACCACTAGGGGGCAGCTCCTGCATTAAGTGCATGTCATAGTGACCAGTTGTTCTGCTGTTCAGTCAATTTGCATTTTAGGGTTTTATTACATAGGAGATATATATATATATTTTTTTTTTTTTAACTTCCTTGAGTTATATTTCCTATGCTGGCAGATCCCAAACATTTTGGTCTTAGGAATCCTTTTGCACTCTCAGAAATTATTAAGGACCCCAAGGAGCTCTGTTTGAGGTATATCTGTCAGTGTTTATCATATAAGAAATTACAGCCTAAAATTTAAAAATACACATTTTGTCATTAATTTTAAAATGACAATAATAAAACCATTATATGTTAAAATAAATAAGAAATTTTATTAAAATAACTATATTTTCCAAAACAGAAAAATATTAGTGAAGGCCAAGGCAAGCCAGGGCTTCAGAAGTTTGGCTTCCTTCATCGCCAGGGGAAACCCTAGCCTCCTGCTCTCTCCACTCCCATGGCTGCTGCCATTTCTGTTGGGATTTATTTATCTTCTATCATTGAAACTTTGTAGCATTGAGTAGAAGCCTGGGCTGGCAAGGGCAGGTGGAAAGCTTGGCTTCCTCCATCACTGGGGAAACCCAAGCCTCCCCCCTGCTCTCTCTGTGGCCGCACCTATCTTGGTTGGTTAGTTTGCATATTCGCTCCTGATTGGCTGGTGGGATGGCTGGTGGGTGTAGCAGAGGTAACAGTCAATTTGCATATTACTCTTTTATTAGATAGGATTGTTTGGAAAATATTGGTTCACTGAGATGTGCAGATCTGCTAAATGTTGATACATTTTATTACACAATATTAAAAAATCACATTCATTAATATTACCAATCTCATCAGCATCAGTATTGAGAAGCCATCAAGTTAGTGATAATTCATATTTCCAAATTGCTAATTTTCACTTTAAAGCTTGAATTTTGTCATTGGCAACATATATTGTCAGTTGTTTTTCTGAACTAACAAGTTCACATAGTCAGAGGGCTGCTGCAAAGAGTACCTTGGAAGGACATAAAAGAAACTGAAGACCTGATAAGAGAGGAGAGTGAAGAGGTTTTTTACTTTTACAGAGTCCATAATCTCCTACCAATAATTCTGAAATCAAAAGAAATCTGAAAACCATGGTATTTTGTTTAATTTGTTTTCCCCCAAAATCAGGTTGGTCCTGAACCTTGTGTGATATGAAAACCTGACCTAAAGTGGCATGAAGCTCCTTATATTTTCATTTACCCCACTTGTGACTATTTATTCATTTTTCAGAAATAGGGTATTGGGTACAGGGTGCTGCCTGGGAGCGTTGCACAATATGTATCATGTTTACCCGAAAATAAGACCTAGCGCATGGAAAGATAAGACATCCCCTGAAAATAAGACCTAGTGCAACTTTGGGAGAAAAAAATTAAGACACTGTCTTATTTTCAGGGAAACAGGGTATTACATGTACTCACCTGATCTTTCTAAAACACAAAAAATTCTGAATTCCAAAACACAGGTAGCCTAAGATAAATGGATGTGTGTATCTTTTTTTTACTCTTAAATTTTGAAGCTGGTGAATGCATTACCTATTCAGAAAGTTAAAAATTTTAATCTTTTAAAAACTAAATTTAGCACAAAGCAAGGTCACGGTAAATAGTGGTGGCTGCTGTTAACCATCCCTCCAGGCCTTTCTGAACTGCCAGCAGATCTGTTTATGGCCACACTATGTTTCTCTGTTATAGCAGTCCCTGTGGGTGTCACTGCTTAGATTTACAGCTTAGAAGACTGGGATGCAGAGGTTTAGTGATAGACCCCTGCCAACCAGCTAGGTAGTTCCCCACCCAGAGTCCAGAGCTCATCTCTTAATCCCAACCCTGAGGCCACTCCAGTTCCCCAGAGCACCTCAGCCATTGGCATGGTGCCCATCTGAGTTGTGTGTCCAGGAGAGGAGTGTTGTGTGTCTGAGAGGAAGGGGAGCATATAAGAAGGAAGCGGTGGCTAGATTCACCTCAAATCCTTTAAAGGGGCCCCTTTTAGAGCTGAGACATACTGTCCTGTGGGCCAGCCAAGAAGTTGTGCCTACGGGTTAATTATACAACACTCTTTCCTTTAGTTGATTACCAGCTGTAGTAGTAGGGGCTTGATTTCAGGGACCATGTGCAAAAGTCACTTTCTTATTTTAAACCCTAGAGCCTTAGTCAGCACAGCCAGGACGGAGACTATTTTAGAATGGATTCTGCACATGTGCCATAATGAGCTCACTGAAGTGTGCGTGTGTTGAGTGTGAGCCTAAAGGATATGTTGTGGCAGTTTCAAGTACACAAATTATTGGGGTTGGCCTTGCGGCTGCCATTCTAGGCCCCATTGTTCTCCATTTCCTCTCACCTCCCACCCTCTGTGGCTCATGAGAGAGAAATAGAGATGGCTGCATGTCTCAGGAGCCATCAGACTCAGTTCTCCCAGGCATTTTTATAGCCACGAGAAGGCCTCTGCTTGCTGCTCTGAAGGGGGCAGTTGGTGGGGATAGGTGAAATGCTTGCTGCCCTCTGGCACCAGCTGGTCCGACCAGTGAGGCAGGATGTTGGGAGGCCACCAGAGACCTTGGCTGCCAGCGCCATGAGCCCAGCTTGGAAACAATAACCTCCCCTTGGAAACCTAGTCCATCTAAATCACACTGTCTCCCAGTCATGAGGTAGGACTGATTGGAGAAGCACCTGCATTTGGATTTTTCCCCAGATCTTTAATTAATGGCTTCTTACCTATGAGCTTAGATTAGGGCCTGTTAATGAAGAATCTGCCATGCCCCAGAACTGTCAGGCTCGGATTGCTCACTGGGACTCCAAGCAGATTCCAAAGACCACTTTTTCAAATACTAAATCTTTTTTATTTTACTGCATTCATATCCATATTCTTTATAGAAGAAACTCGCCACGGTTTATATTTTCAGTGTGCTTCTTTCCAGTTTTATTTATCCACACCCACTCACGCTTTTCACAGTTGATTTCTTAGGTTATTGATAATCCCTTTTTATCCCACAATTAACATTCGAACAGAAACATTTTTACACATCATTTTAAAACATTCCAAGAGCATTGTTTCCTTGGCCGAATTTAGGGATATGCCCTAATGTACCTAACTGGTCCCGATTAGGCTGACCCATTTCCCTTGATTAGTGAGATATTTTCATTTGAATTAAGTGTTTTTTCTTTAAGATTGATACCTAGACATACAATTGTTGGATCAGAGAATATAAAGATACATAAAGCTTTTGAGAGAGAACTCTATTTTGTGGGTGTATATATATTATATAATACAGAATTTCCATTTATTCTCCTAGCTCATGCATTGTCAATGAGGGTAATGGGGGAGGAGTGAAAAAAATCTTAGCGTTTACAATGGTTTGTGGCCCTCCAGTGGGCCACAAACAGATAGACAGCACTTGTGATGGGAAAATTTCATGCAGGGACCATAATGAAAAAAAAAAAAAAAAAAAAAAAGGTTGAGAAGCACTGTGTTTGCTGTATGTGAGTACACATCTCACTCTACCCTTGAAAGCTTTTAAATCTGAGCTTTTGGTTTTGGGTTTTAGAATAATCTTCTGGTCTAAAAGATCTTGGTTCTTTATCCACCGTTTAAGAGTTTGAGAAGGGTGTGAATAAAATAAAATTTATGTGGCAATTACCACTGTTAATATTTTTCTTTCTATACAATTGGGATCCTCCATGTTCTGTAGCTTTGTATTCAGCCATTGTAACATTATCAGTGTTGGTCTTTGCCAAGGGCCACTTTGAAATATCCCTTGTGTTATGGTTCATGCAAGGGTTTCCCTTATCCCCAAGCCTGGGAGTCAGGTTCAGGCTCCTGGGGGCCCAGGTGCCTGGCTGCTCTGGGACTTACAGTAATTGTCCCTTGTTTGTTTCAGGTGTGATCCCCTGGGCCCATTTGCTGTCGGGGGAGAGGACCTAGACCCCTTTGGGTGAGTACTGCTGGAGAGGTGGCAGCAATACAGCTTGCTTTCCTGGCTTCTCAACCCAGCTCATTTTCTAATTCTAGAGCTTTCATCAGTCTTCCTTTGTGGGGAAGGAGCAGTCTGTTGCCAAGCAGCTGAGAAGTCATTGCCATTGTTCTGCTCTGAGTGTAGGGGAGGGGCTAAGCCAGCACAGCAAGCAGCTCTTCTGCCCTTTCTGGCCCCTCTTAATGATATGGAGGACAGCAGCCCCCTCCTGGGAGGACAGGATACCATGTCGGTTTATCAGGTGTGGGTTACAGACTTTAGGACATCTCAGTGCTACTCAGAGGTCACCTCGCTTGATAAGGGGAGTCTTTAATCCCCAATAAGCTCTGGGTGGTTCTTGTCACATATCCACTAAAGTCATTACAGCCTGAGCTATGCACTGTCTTCTCTGAATGAGTCACACTAGACTTTAACCTCTGCTGCAAAGTGTCCCAGCTTGGCCATCTGATTTTTAGACAAGTGATGAAGTCCCAGAAGTGCACAGTTAAGCTTGAACAGTGACCTCTGCACATGTGTCCTAGTTTGAGCACATGAGGTTGGGTCCATGGAACTTCATGAGAGAGATGCTGTCAGGACCCATAGGCAGTCCATAGATTGCCCTGGGGTTCTTTAAATAAACAGCAGAAAGGCAAGCAGCATGGATTGTCCCAATGTTATCCTTAGGCCTTAGACCTAAAGTAGTGTCCTACAGAGCCTCATAATGGTCCTGCCATGATGGTTCTGCATTGACCTTGGCAAATTCTGGCACCTGTTCTTGATCAAATTGCTCCCCTTGGGTACAGGTCATGGCAGGAGTCTCCATTTTGTAGGCTCAGGGACCCTGGAGAGCCAGAAGTCCAACTGTGCTGTTTGTATTCTTGCCCACTTCCTGCTGGTGCTCAGGCAGCCATCCCCGTGTATCTACTTGAGCCACCATGCAGGAATAGCCCAGGCATTCTTAGTCTGTTCTCACCTCCTTCACCTCTTCTCCAAAGCTCCCTGCCATACCTGCAGACCCGTTTTTCCTTCTTGCCTCAGGTATCGAAGAGGTGGCATGATTGTGGATCCTCTGAGATCTGGCTTCCCAAGAGTACAAGTTGACCCATCCTCGGGCCTTCCAAACCGGCTTCCTCCAGGCGCTGTGCCTCCAGGAGCGCGCTTTGACCCCTTTGGACCCATTGGGACCAGTCCAGCTGGGTAGGTATTCACTCAGGCATGCTGAGAAGTAGGACCTGATGACAGCTTGTCTCAGGGCTGCAGGAACGAAGGCATCACACCAGGCACAGATGCCATAGCTCCATCCCCCACTGGCAAGAGAGTGGAGCCTCCTTCAGGCCCTGCCAGATGCCCTCCCGGAGCTTCCCGGAGCGCCCGTTCCACAGTGCCTCCCTCCCCCATTCCCCTCAGAGAGGATCCAGGTGAGGAGGAGTGACTCCCTTACTGTGTTTAGCTGTGGCAGGAACCCACTGGATCCTTATCAACACTTATTAACATGGATGGATATTATTGTCCACATTTAGTAGATGGAGAAAACCGAGGCCTTGAAGGATGAAGTAACTTAGCCAAGGTAGAAGAATCAGGATTCAGTCCCAGTCAGTCTGGCTCTAGAGTACATGTGTGCTCTTGAACTCCACAAACCACCACATCATTCTGGAGTACAGGCTCCCTCAGCTCAGGGCCCTGTCCGCCCTCCATCACTCCAACTCACCAGCCCCTCTTTCCATTCCAGACCCAACCCAGACCATCTCCCCCCGCCGGGCTACGATGACATGTACCTGTGAAAGCTTCAAGAATGTAACATCCCAGCCTTCCCTCCACTCTCCTGGAGCTACCACCTCTGGCCCCATCAGCAACCGTGTTCTTACGGGCTGGGGGCAAGGGACTCTGCCCAAGTGTTTGCAGGCTGGCTGGGATTGCCTCCCTACTCCCCGTCAGAGTCGCAGCACCTGCTGCAGCTCTCCACTGGGCTGCATATAGGTCCCAAAGAGAAGTCAGTCTCTTTCACCACCAGCTCCTCCCCACTTCCCAAGGGAAACTCCGGCAACATATACCCTCTACCCAGTGCAGCGCTATAAGAACAAAATGCATTTTGGATGTTATTATTAAGAACCAAATGTCAATACAGAAGTCATGTTGCCGTCTTCTATTTTTCTTTACTGCACAGTTCCTTCCAATTATGAGACTTTTGAGCTTGAATCTTTGTGGGGCTAAATGACTTTTCCTTCCCTGGGCCCATTCTTACTTCTCGGGCACCTTCCCTTCATAAATTGCTGTTAGCTCCTGACATCACCAAGATGGTCCCAGTATGGCTGCGTGGATGAAATGAGTGACTGGAAACCTCATAGGACACAAGGATGGTTTCACACAGGCAGGCACATTGCAGAAAGACTGCTTGCTTCTTGGAGGGCAGAACCCTCAGATCCGCCTTACCTGACCCAGGCCTGAGTCTGTGGCTGGGCAGTGGCAGCCTACAAACAGAACAGACCTGAGCACTGATCTCTTTTTACCACTAACTTATTGAGTGACCCTAAGTCCCTTCCCCTCCCATGGCTTTGTGCCACCTGTGGAATCTGAGGTGCCCTTCCCATTCTGATGACTGCTTCTGTGTATGCCAACCCCTGGAACTGGGGCAGAAGGAAAAGAAGGAAGGTCCAAGGCTTGATGTGGTACTTACAGAGTCTAACTCTGTGCCTCTCACCCCCCGTGGGGCCTAGCCGAGCACAGGAGCACGAGCTCCGTCTGAGCATGGCATGGAACTCCGGGAGGAGTGGGAGGCCAGCCTCAAAGCCATTGGCTGGGGTGGATGGAAGAACTAGTCAAGCACGAAACAACCCAGGAAGGCATTCACCCCAGGGATCCCCGCCTCTGGAAGCCTGTGCCCTCTGTCCAGGCCCACCTGACCTTTGGTGTTCTTCGGATCCTTTTCAGCCCGAGGAGGCCTGACAGAAGTGATCAGTGATGAACCTTATGCTGGAGTGGAGAGAGCACCATAGAGCACCAGGCTCAGACGCAAGACATCAAAGCACTAGTCACTTTGATTCCACAACTAGCATTTCAGCCATGTTTCATTTCTCAGCTCCTTGGGTTCCTTCCCCTAAATTAGGACGTATTATTTCTCTGTGGGCAGGGGTTACCAGAGCTTTTCTGAGGTATCTGCTAATATGCTACAGCCTGGGACTGCCTGTCTGCCCTGCCAGAGAGCGGTTTAGGGGTAAAATAAATTGGCCCGTAGGCCCAAAGTCAACCTGTGGAGGCTGGGCCAGCGTGGGAGGCTAGCATGAGTGGGCTGGCAGACCCCATCTCAAGCACTGATCTAGTAAAAGACCACCTTGGTCCTTTGGAACGTGTGTGCTCTGGAGAAGGACCGAGGGGAGGCAGAGCTGCAAATGTAGTCATCAGTCTAGTTTGCTTCCCCAGGGGCCAGCGATGGTGGAATGTTTTTGTTTTGCAATTGGGTCATACCTGCTACCAAAAGGACATGGGCAATTAACTCATAAAAGCATCCTTTACTATAAAAGGAGGCATTTAAAAGAACATCTGATAAGCAAGGAAGGGGGGATAGATCACTTTTAGAACCCTGACTCAGAGAAAAGACAAAATCGAAACAATAAATTTGCCACTTAGATTTACTAGTAGCAGAGGTTGAAAGGATAGTCCAATACATAATTCTGTTTTCTGAAAACAGAAACTTTAGTGATTCATCTTCAGAATCAGCCATTTTGTGTGTGGATCTCCTTGCATCAAGGACATTGAGTAACACAGATGATGTCTTAGTTCCATGGGGCTTTTAGGAACTTCTAGGTCAAGCTGTAGTCAGGCCACGTCCTTCCTTCTCAGCCATAAGTAATTGCCAGGCACCAAATGGGAACTGTTTGGGGTTGTTTTTTGGAATCCTAAAGGTTGGAGCCTTAATAAATATCAGCACTTAAAAACCTACTTCTCTTTTTTAAATAACTTTGTATATAATTCACATACTTATGAAGTTCACCCTTCTAAAAGTGTGCATTTAAGTGTTTTTTATTTTTTTTAATATGTTTTTATTAGTTTTTACAGAGAGGAAGAGAGAGTTAGAAACATCGATCAGCTGCCTCTTGCACACCCCCTACTGGGGATGTGCCCGCAACTTGACTGGAATCGAACCTGGGACCTTTCAGTCCGCAGGCCAACGCTCTATCCACTGAGCCAAACTGGTTTCGGCCACTTAAGTGGTTTTTAGTATATCCATATTATGTGCACCCATCACTATATCTAGTTCCTGAACATTTTCACCACTCCAAAAAAAAACCCATACCCATTAACAGCCACTCTCCATTCCCCCTTTCCAACGCCAGGCAACCACTAGTCTATTTTCTGTCTCTAAAGAGTTGATTATTCTGGACAGTTCTCATATGTGGAGTCATATAATACGTGGCCTTTTGCACCCGTCTCAGTTAATGTTTTTAAGGTTCATCTATGTTGTAGCATGTATCAATGCATCATTCCTTTTTATGACAATGATATTCTATTAATATACCACATTTTCTTTATCCATTATCAGTTGATGGACATTTGGATTGTTTTTACTTTTTGGCAATTATGAATACTGTTGCTGTGAACACTGTGTACAAATTTTTGTGTAGAGATATGTTCTTAATTCTCCTGGATATAAACCTAGCAATGGGATTGATGAATCATATGATAACTTGATACTAAACTTTTTGAAGAACTGCCAGACTGTTTTCCAACTTTGCTGTGCCATTTTACATTCCCAACAGCAGGATATGAGGATTCCAGTTTCCTACATCCTTGTCAATATTTGTTAGTCTTCTTGTATATAGCCCTCCAAGTTGGTGTTTTGTCCTCTATTTTAAAAAAAGAAAAAGAATTTTGCCCTAGTCAGTTTGCTTAGTGGTTAGAGTGTCGATCTGTTAACCAAAAGTCACGGGTTCAATTCCCAGTCAAGGGCATGTACCTCAGTTGCCGACTCAATCCCTGTCCCAGTCGGAGTATAAATAGGAAGCAACCAATCGATGTGTCTCTCTGACATTGATGTTTCTCTTCCCACCGCCTTCCTCCCTCCCCTCTACTCTTTCTTTAAAACATAAAATAAATGGAAAAAAGATCATTGGGTGAGGATAAAAAATTTTTAAAAAATAATTTTTACCTAGGCCAAATAAAGTGGAGACCAGAGCCAGTCACCCTTGGGGAGCAGACCATGGCTTAGATGATAACCTTTGGGATGGCCATGGCTGATGAGCCATAGAATACCTGGGTTTGAATTTTGGGGAAGGTTGTGGGCTGGATGTGAATCGGACAGGTGCAGTCTGCAGTTAAGTTCCCCTGACCTTTCCAGGTCTAGTGACATTCATGGCATCACTTTCGCTTGGTTTGAACTTTGTTTATCTGGTGGTTTACAAGTGAAATAAAGGTTTTATTCCAACTCCTGTCTTTTGGTGAAGTGCCATAGACCACTGCAATACCATCCCTGGCACCCCCCACATTCCCACCTTCTCTTCTCACCTTATCTCCTAATTTTGAGCTGGCTGTGTTTCTCATTGCAGTCATCTACTCAGTCATGAGCTTCTGACAACCTCCATTAAGAAGCCATGAGTCTCTTGAGACTATTCCAATGTATTATGTTCAAAATGGAGACTTTATATTCCTGCTGGATGGCCAGTACTGCTGACACATTGTTAGAAAATGGTAGCAAGCTCCACACAACCTCACTCTTTGGAACTCGGCTTCCCTCATGACTTCCTTTCTACTGTCATGGTGACATTCTTTTACTGACCAATGCCTCATTTCAGAGAAGGAGAATTAGAATGTGTGGGCCAGTTAATGTCCTCTGCCACCTTCTAATCTTGCCTACTTCGGTGTTATGCCAATAAAATAGGCCCCACCACCAAGGAGAGGAAAGACACCCTCCACACAAACACACACACACACACACACACACATTTATATCCTCAGCTTTCTCTCATAAAACATGCTTGTGGGCACTACCAACCATTGGAGAGGTTCAATGACAGGCTGTCAAGTCCTCAGCTTTTGTTTGTCCTCGGGATACTACAAGACACACCCAAGTCACTTCAGCTGTGCGTGGCCCTGGATCTCACCTGTAGGGTGGGTCAAAAGGCAGGAATGGTGAGGAATGATGGGTGGCAAGTCTCAAGTGAATAAGGACAGACTAAAATGCAAAGAGGAACAATGATAATGAGGTTCCAATAACCCACTAGTGGCAGGGCTAGGTAGGAGGTACCAAGTGAAGGCCCAGTCCCTACTGAGTCTGTGCAGTCTAATAGAGAAGTCTGGGTGGCCCCATAAGGCCATCTTCCATATGAACTGCATAAAATAAGAGTGATGTGGTGGGGAGGGGAAGAGGGGTCCTGCTGAACGGTTAGTCCAGTGGTTAAGCTGCAGTAAAAAGAAATTACTTGCGCTTAAAAAAAAAGAAAAGGGTATAGAGATTTAGCAAGATTACATCATCATTGTCATTATCTGGGGATCAGGAAACTCCAGAGCCACACAGCAATTGTATAGATTCGCAACAGAAAGTGAACACTCTTTATACTGCCTCCTTGACTCCCACTCAGCTCGGTTCAAATGTAAGGCTTAATTGAATGCATCTGATAGAACCTATATTATCTCTCTAACCATAGCTGCAAGAGAGCCTGGGAAATGTCTTTGTTCCTTTTCCCGCCTTTCATTCAAGAAGGTGCATTGGGTCAGAGGTCTGGTGGTGTCCTGATCTCATGTCTGTCTGCACTGCCAGCCATGCTTCCCCAGCTCACCTGAACTAAAGAGGCTCCTGCGATGCTTGCTCAAAGTACACCCTGAGCCCAAGCCAGACAGGGATCTGGCCTTTAAATCCATGTTTATGAGTTCCTCAGGTGATTCACATTATCTGGCAAGTATGAGAACTGAGAAGGGAGGAAAAGACTTTCTACATTGGTATTCAAATCAGCAGCAGCACCTCGAAACTTGTTAGACATATAGACTCTCAGGCTGCACCCAAGACTTATTAAATGGGAGTCCTATGTGAATATTAAAGTTTAAGATGCTCTAGTTGTACCAACTACAATATTTTCCTTCACCTGGATATCAGGTGCAGTCTTCTTGGCTCATGGCACAATATGATTAGTGCATGCAAGAGCTCTTGTTTTAAGTTTTTCTACTTTTACCCCCTGAATCCACTCCATTTGCTTGACCCGTGAATCAAATGTGTCTCATATGTTTTTAAATATGCATACAATTCTTGTACTATAGAATACAATATATCTTCAAATAATAACCATAATGTGATACTATCCTCATTTTCTAGGCCAGAAAAAGAGACTTTGGAAAGGCCCAGTGATTGTGCTCAAAACCAAGCCAGAGTCTCAGAATGAGGCAGGCATGGGAGCACTCTCAGCCCTACCCTTGCCGGTGTGTGGCCTTATCTGCAAAGTGAACATCGCCTCTACCTTTGGGATTGTTGTCGGATCCGGAAAGATGTATCCTATAAACAGATAGTTGGAGCTCAGTGGCTACCAACTATTACTATTACTGAGCCACATGAGCTCAGTGGCTACCAGCTATTACTGTTACTGAGCCTGGTGGCTCATGGACAAAAGGAAGGGAAACTTCCAGATAATGCTAGAAACAAGCATTATCTGGTACTCGGTATACTAGGTTTTTCCTGGTCATGTGTAGTATCTTAGCCACCCCTGCCATAACACTGTTGGCAGCATTGGTTGAGGTGCTGGACTTGCCTTCTAGGGGTGGTAGCATGATGGGAAAACTGGGTCCACCCAGTTCTAAAGCCAGTGCTCTTTCTGTAGAACTGCTGCATCCTATGCAGGTGAAGAGCATGAATCCCTGAGAAAAACCTATTTCTGAAGCTGGAAAACGAAGTCAGGGCTTGTGTGAGACAGGAACATAACCTCAGGATGGTCTCAGTCCTGTCCTGTTTGTGAGGTGTAGCTCCTGTATCTGAGCATT